TTCAGCTCCCAGAATTCTCCATGCCATGCTGGCTGAAGAATTCTGGGAGCTGAAGTCCACACATCTTAAAGAGGCCAAGTTTGAAAAACACTGCTCTAGAACAATCCAAGGTGCTGGTCATGGTTGGTAGCAAGGGACTTGCTGCTTATAGAATTCAAAATAGTTAAAGCTGTGACATCAGAAGCAAGCATAATGTGAGCAGCAGTCCTCATTGCAAGGGTATTTAAGTTTTATTAATTAAATCAAATGCTCTCTCACTGGAAAAATCAGCACTAATTTAGCTGCAACTGGATGCCTGTTTTAAGTTGGAATATTGCTGTGATGTTAAATTTAGGTGAAAACCCACTGCACACTATATTTGTAGTACAAAAGTGTTGATGCTTAATAGCTGCCAACTAAAAGATCTATAAGCATGAGAGCAAATAAATTTGAAAAGAAGCCATGAAACAACTAATGAGAATTTTAAAATAAACTAGTATCTACAACTATTGAACAGTAATCTCAATTTGCTGTTCTTTCTGCTAACTTTCTCCAGTGTATTCTTTCTTGTTCAAGTGAAGTAAAGAGAAGAAGCTGATGTTAAAGTGGTGGCTGGCGACATAATTAATTAAGCAAAAATGCCAGCCACCACGGCATGCCAATAAAGGGAGAGAGGTCTTTTGAACCTCATTTGTTGGTGTCAGAAGATGGGAAATAGCAAAACAGAGTACAGCAGTCACCATCATGCAAACATTATGAATGTAGCAGTGGATGGTTGCTCTAGCAGAAGAGCAAGCTGCTGATGTCAACAGGGACAACCTTTGTACAGCAACTATGTGTTTGCATGGAAAGCTGCAATCAGGACAATATTTCTACTGCTATCCCCTCCAAGTAACAGTAGGCTGGTAGTTTCACCATGTCAGGAAATGAAACCTTCATAAACGCTGCCAGGACACAATGGTGGCAATCCATAGTTCGTTAAATATAAAAAGCATACTCAAACAAATAACAGAGTTTAAGGGTGCTTAACTATTTACTGGACTGCAACCAGTGTTTTCCTTTTATTCTTTAAAGTCAGTTCTTATCATTGCAAAATGTTTTGGAGCAAGGTCTGTTCCTAAAGTTTAGTAGCAAGTTTGTATGAAATCAATTTTATATGAAATCAAACAGAAGAGAGAGAGATTCCATTTCTGCAGAAGTTTTATCCTCTTTTGGATTGATATATTCTTTTTTTAAAATTTGCTGTTATATATTGAATTTGTTTAGTTTGCTTAATCTTTTTGGGTGCAATCCAATGATTCCAGGATCCACCAGATACTAGAGACTCCCTTTCATACATAGGTAGAAAAATGTGATGCACAGATTGTCCCTTGATCAGCAGCCAAAAGCTCCATGGCCATGCAGGTGATAAGGACAAAGGAACATACCAGAATGATATAAGGGAAGCTCTGAAGCTAAGCCTTTTCATTCCCCAAGATACTCTGAATTTGTATATGTGAGAGGGAGGGTTATGCCACTCTTGGAACAGGCATAGTTAACTTCTTTCCAACAGAATCAGTGGGAGGAAGCATGATTTTAAGAAGAGGAAAAAAGGAGAAAAGCCATTCTGTCACTCTTGTTGTAGCTGGTGCAAGCTCTAAGGAGTTTAGGAAGTGGTAGCTCCTCTGCCATAGGTAATTTCTCCCCCACCCCAGTCTCCATAGGATTGCATTTAGATAGCCCACAATAGAACCTCCTTCAGGATCTAGATGTTCTCCTGTTTACCTGCATGATCCTTTACAAAGGGACTTGTTGTGGAGCTTTTCCCGTTGGTACCAGCTTCCTGTTCCGGGCGTTTAGTTGGATCAGCATTATTTGGGGACCCACCAGAATTGGGAACTGAAAGAACACAAATGATTCACTACAAACTAACAATAATGTGCTTTATAAGCTGGTTATCAATTTTCATGAGGCATGAATGGCTTTGAACAGAAGGTCCTTTATGTAAGACTACAAGGAGATATGAGAATGTAATTTTCCTCTTTAAAGCAAGCTTTGAAAAAAAAAACCCTATATAGTTATTTTAGAGATTTAGATTGTGAAGCTATCAGCGAAAATGAAGGGGATTCCTGAAATTGGCAAGAAAGCCTTTGCAAATGACATTTCAGCACAGCCAAGCAAGTTGATTGACTACTAAACCAACCTCTAATTAGGAAGAATAATTATTTCTTTCCCTGTACAATAGGTTATCTGTAGATGAGAAAAAGACCATGAACAAAACCCTCATTTTTAGTGAGGTTTTGTTACAAGCAAGCTATGAAAACATTAGCTCCCTCTCCTTTTAAAATAATTTTGAGCTGTGAAACTGTAGTTTAATATATAGTCTACAAGCAAGAATAACTGGAGCACATAGTGTTCAAGGATACCTTATTCTTCCAAGAAGAGTTGTTCAATGAAAAGATCTTAGTGAATTAACTCTTCCTATAAAATCTGTCAGCAACCCAGGTGCAGAAAATAGAATTTACTTCAGAACATAAAAGAAGACAGTTTCACCTGCTTTGCAAAGCCAGGGTCATTGAATTGGGGAGCAAGGGCTATTCACAGTTGTTTAATGAAAAATAATAACAACAATACAAAAGATGATCCCTACCTTGTTCAACTTTCATGAGGATCTTCATGGCTTTTGTCTGGCATACACCTCCCTCCTGGTTATCCAAGCCTTCCAGCGATCCATTGGATGTTGCTGATTAAAAAAATAATAAAACATCAAATGAAAGTTTCAGAATACCAACAAGTACAGTCACACAAAACAAGAGTAGTTGAAAATAGATATCACTTGTCCAAATTTACATCCTGTTGTTTAGGTTTATTCAGAAAAAGCTATGAAATATTGGCAAGTAAGAGAACAAAAACACATCCAATACAGGCTGTGCTATATTCCTGATACCTGGTACACATTTTTAGGTTTCTAATTCAGCCAGATGCCTTTTTCCATAACTGTCAACTGGCTTATTATGCATACGTTTGTTCTCCACACCCAGCATCTCCACTCTCTTGAAAAAATGAGTTAGCTCAGAAAAAAAAAAAAAAGTTTGCCAAGTTCAGCAGGGCAAAAAAGTTTATTTTTTATTTTTTATTGAACTGACATTCCACAGATTAAACAAATCAGGTTTTTTTAGATTGTGAAAAATTGCAAATATCTTTGATTTACAGTTTGTAACAGTTCACATATATTCCAACGCCTGCCTTTATACACTAAAAGGGTAGGATATGATGTGGATTGGAGCCTAGCGTCTATTTAGCTTTGTATCTTCAGCGAGGCAGGTAACCTCTGGGTTTACTTGAAAAATAGAAAAATAGGGCATCAGATAAAGATAAAAGATATTTTTAAAAAATGATGCAGTAATTCAAATCGTTTCATCTCATTCCTAATTCCTTAGCTTATTTATCTTAACAGAAATATCTTAATCCTCTAACTACATTTATCTAGTGGTATACACCAACCCTAACTTGAAAAGAGACACACTTTCTCCTTAAAATGGAAATTGATTACTTGGCAACATTCTCATTGCAGCAATCCTATTATTTCAGCTTACCGCTCTCTTCACACAGCCCAAATGCATGCTCTAAAAGTGCTGAGAGTGTATGCAGATTAGTTGAGAGCCAAACACAAGAAAGGTGTCAGTGTTGGCTCCTCAGAAAGCTGCCACTGGAGCAGAACTGGAGAAAATTCCTGACATGTTATTGATCAAAAGACCATAAGGGACAGGATGGAATCTGTAGGCTATCGATCTAATACAGAAATCATCCAGAAATAGTGTTGCAGATCGTCTGTCTTGATTTACAAAACTAAAGTTGCTAACTGATTACAACTCTGCTAAATGGCTGATCTGCATTTTTAAAGGAATCCCACACACGCACACACAGAGTGCTCTTCAGCCTTTCAAAGCACATATACCACATCTGGCCACTTACTAAAAATATTAAAGGGAAAAGGAAAGGCCATGAAAATACTTGTAGGGTTTCCCATGGAGAAAAAGTAATTAAATGGGACTTCTGGCACTAAGCAGAATCTCCCTTTCATCTAATTTAGATAGGGCCCCATAAATCGTCTTTTTCTTTAGGTCTTTTAGTTATCCCACATTTTTTCCTGGGGGATTTCTTTTCTTAAAATGTACCTTATATATATATTTCCTGTTTCCTTCATAGGCCCAGAGTCTTTCACTAGGTCTTCCCAGCCCCATGTTGGTATTTTTCTTTCTCTAATCTTCTCACTAGCTGCAAAAGCTATGAACTTTTTCTCTGCCTTTGATCTACTTCTTGCTTTTGTTCTACTTCTCCCTCCTTGTGGGTGTAACATAATTCCTCCCTACATGAACTTCCCCTTCTCGCAGCTCCCTCTCCTATTTTCCTGGATTCTGAAGCGCGTTTTGTCTTTTGGTGTTAGAGACAAACAGCTAACAAAATTTCAAATCTTCATTTTCTAACTTCTGCTGTACATTTTTAAAGTGAGTAATTCAGGAGAAAACAGATCTGATGTGTTACATCTGCACTGCTAGAAAATAATGGAGATGTATAGTTTTGTTTTGCTGAGATCTTTTTCTTCCCCCAGAGAAAAGAAAATCAATACTAAGAACCAGTTTTGGACATAAATCAAATGCATCTTTTTGCTGGGTTTTTATGACCTTTTTGTTTTTGCCTTTGTGCCCATACGGTTTACAGAAATAATAAAATTAAACTCCAGTAGACAGGATAGTTAATAAACTATGACTTGTTCTTCTTAATGCCAAGATGCAGAAATTCACTTTCCTTTACCTACCTTTCTCTGATTAAAATGTAACAGAGTGTACCGGTGTTACACTGATCTTCAAAAACCTTGAAAACTAGTATTGCCAAAGAAAAATATACTATTATATGGTTGTGTTCCTTAAGGATCTAAACCTGCCTGGCTTGAAGCTGATTTTGCAAAGTGCTCAAAAGTCTCAACTGAAAGTTACATTTATAATTTAGTAGAGTCTGACGGAGTTATGAATTTCTGGTAAATGATTTTGCCAGTATCAGAATTATTTACTGTGGGAGCTAGTGGCTCCTTTCAGAGCCAATTTACTCTAAAAATCATGTTTTTACATGTTTACTTTTCCTTGCTTCTACTAAAGAATTATCTATTCAAAACTCTTAAGAATTTATACTTTCATATGTCTGAATAACTGAGTGTCTTCCTGCACCGGGTAATGTATTCCGTGTGTTTGTGTGTGTGCATGCGCGCCATGTTGTATATGACTAAAGAATAATTTGCCAATGTTTAGCTAATTCTGTCAGAACATTTGCACATTAGAACACACAAGTTCTCACCAGGCTATTATATTCCTCAACTCTTATCCTTCCTTTAAATACATTTTAAATACATTTACAGGTTTTATCCAAAATCAAAACGTAAGGTCCAGCTCCAATACAAACACACTCAATGTGGTAGCCTTGGTTGATCTTTTCATCCTTAGTTCCTGTCATGAAGGCTGAAGGGACACAGGAGTCAGGAAACTACACAAGAGCTCTATTTCTGTCAGACATGGACAGAAAAAGCTTCTGACACTACCCACCTGACATGACCCACATTCAACTAGGTTCAGAGCCACCTAGTGTCTAAACTGTGACACCATCTACCATGTAATAGATGCAATGGATTGCTGAGGGCCATGAAATCAGATCACAGCAAAAGTGCATCATAATAAAAATTAAGTGCCTAGCTACTTATCAGCAATTTGCTAGTAAATCAACAATTTGTGTACGTTTGCAAATTAAAAAGACAAACTCTGGGTTGCCACATTAGCTAAGTTTACTTTTCTGTGATGTCCAAGAACATTTGTAACTTACAGCTCAACAGTAAGGCTTCTGCTGGCCATACTTCAAACCAGAGTAAAACTGTTTAGACATGCTGTTCCCATTTTCTAAAATTTTAGTATCTGTATTTCAATCAAACTTGCTATACAGAGAAACATACAAACTGGAAGCATGTTTTGAATGCCTCTATATAAATGTTTATAACATTAATTTCTGCATTTATAAACAAGTTGTCTAGTTTTCTATTATTTGACCCAGTACTACACAGCTTGTAGTCCAACAGGCTAAAACAGCCTAATATTTTCTGGGGAGTTTTAGCATTTGGAGTACAACCTACAAATTAATATTTTATTATTAATATGATATGAAGGCAGAAAGTATTTTTTCTCATATTTGAGATACAAATAAATTAGTAATGTTTGAAAATGCATGAAACTGCAAAACATCAACCATATATTTCTGTTAGACTACAGAAGCACAGTGTGTCTCAAGCTGTGTTGGCCTACTTGGATGTAAACTTGTTTCCATCCATTTATTTCCTGAATGTATAGGATTTTTTAAAAGCATGGTTACAGCAATAAAAATTAGGGCTGTGCAAAGCATTTGAAATGGGTATGAATACGGGTGCAGAAAAGCATGCCTCCTCCAATCATTATAACAGCACATCCTTCAGAAAGTTCAGCATGGCAATTTTGAAGTTCTTTCCCACAGGTGTGCATATGCACACACTGCTTTCCTGCCAGTCTTCCCATGCACAAACAATAATTCTGCTGGTATTGCCAGTGAAACAAAGTGGCTGTGCACACAGGCACATGCACAGCTGAGACAAGACTTTCCAGGGACACAGCTGCTTTAATGCTTTAAGGAACAGTGTTTTAGTCAAGCCCATTGTGTGTTGCAAAGTGCCCTTTTCAAGGCTTTAAACAGCCAACATAAACATTATGAAAGTGGTTCAAGGCTGAAGGTGCTTCCTAGATTTTGTGTGTGTGCGCCTTTGAGTCAGTGTTGACTCCTGGTAACTGCCTGGACAAGCCCTTGCAGTTTTCTTGGCAAGGTTTTTCAGAAGTGGTTTGCCATTGCCTTCCTCTTCCTAGGGCTGAGAGCACGACTGGCCCAAGGTCACCCAGCTGACTTTGTGCCTAAGGTGAGACTAGAACTCACAGTCTTCTGGCTCCTAGCCTGGTGCCTTAACCACTACACCAAACTGGCTCTCTCTTCCTAGATTTACCTGGTAGAAATATCTATATTTTGGCCTTTAGTAGGCAATTTTACATTAAAAAGACAGGAAGTCCTTTCAACCAAGATTTGATCTGTCATATATCTTCAGAATCTGCAAAATCCTTATTTACAGAATGAAATGTATCTCACTCCAAATGAAGAAGGAAAAAAATTAGAGTGCCAGACAAAGAATTTCAGAGGTATTATTTTTATACAGTCCCTGTGGAGTGGAAGTAATATTACATTTTAATACTTCTTCATTTGATTGTTATTATTCTACCTCCCAGAAGGCTAAGCCACTGCCTAAATCTTGACTGCTTTCAACCTATCAAGTTAGTAACATTGCTCTAATCAGATGGAGAATTAAGCTTCTGGATTTGTGCCTAGATACAGCCTTTCATTCACAAAGAGATTAAAAACAAAGGCAAGACACATACAAAACACACAAAATCAAAACTCATCCCTAATTCCAAACAGAATGCATTTTTTAAAGCAAGCAAATATTATTGCAATGAAAAAGCAGATGGTAACAATCAGCTACCAACTGGATGCTAATGCCCATTCCAAATGCACCCCCATTTTTAAGTAGTTTAATAATATAATAACCTTTGGGCCACATTACTATAATTCAAGCAATCATTTAATTCACACTAAATAAGATGAATGATGCATTTGATTCATACTACC